TGGAAGAACAGTCAATTCTTCAGGAATTTTACCAGTAAAGAGATTATTGCTTGCTCTGAATACCCTTAAATTGTACCAAGTACCCATTTCAGCTGGTAATTCACCTGAAAACAGGTTGTTCCTGATATCAACCTGAGACNTGACAAGTCCAAGTCAATAAGGTTTGGTAAAAGGCCAAGTGCAGCTGGTATTTGTCCTGAAATCTGATTTCTGCTGGTTTTTAAAGTAGTAAGAGAATTCCAAGAGACTATCTTCGACGGAAAACTCCCGGATAGTTTATTACCATCCAGCAAAAGTTCTGTTAACTTTGGAAGAACAGTCAATTCTTCAGGAATTTTACCAGTAAAGAGATTATTGCTTGCTCTGAATACCCTTAAATTGTACCAAGTACCCATTTCAGCTGGTAATTCACCTGAAAACAGGTTGTTCCTGATATCAACCTGAGACAAATTTGATGCCACTCTTTCTGGAAGTTGACCAGTTAACAAGTTATCATTTAACAAGAAAGTTGACAAATTCTTTGCTGTCCACAAACCATCAGGAATCTTACCAGTAAGCCTGTTTTTTTCAACTCGAACGGCCCTCAAACTATTACAGTTTCCAAGAGATTCTGGTAGCTCACCTGTAAGATTGTTATTAAAAGCAAGCATCATAAGCAATCCCTTGTTATAACATAGAGCCTCTGGTAATTTTCCAGTAAAATGATTTTGGAAAACCTGGAAATCTCTGAGCATCGAAGACCGAAATCTGGTGGAATTTCACCAGATAAACTGTTCCCAAAAAGCCTAACATCTACCAATACTGGCAATTTGCCTATGCCTATTGGTAAATTCCCTGATAATTGGTTCATAAACAGAGATAACCCTGTCATTTTTGTCAGCTCTCCAAAATTTTCTGGTATCTTCCCTGTTAAGCTGTTGTTAGCCAAATCAATAACCTCCAAATTGAAGGACTCAATAATCTGAGGAATCTGTCCTGACAATCTATTAGTGTAGAGATAAACTATGGTCAAATTCTTTGGCTGAAACAAACTGTTAGGGATGCTACCACTCAATCCATTCATGGATAAGTCCAAAAATTCCAAAGCTGACATGTTGCCAATGCTTTCTGGGATTTCTCCTATCAAATTAATTTCACTCATCCAGATATTTTTGAGTTTCTTCAACTTGGTAAAACTTGATGGTATTTCTTGAGGTGCAAACTTATTGAGATTCAGAATCAGAGATTCAAGATTCGTCAAGTCGCCAATTTCAGCAGGGAAAGAGCCATGGAAAGCATTTGAAGCAAACTGAAGTTCTTTGAGCTGTTTTAGACCTCCATTGCTGGAGGAATGTTACCAGTAAAGAAGTTTGCTGTTATGTTGAAGTACTGAAGCTTAGGCGAAAGCCGGTTGATGTCATTAGGAAGGCTGCTGTTCATGAAGTTAAAAGAAAGGTCTAAGTATTCAAGATTGGAACAGTAGTAAAGAAGGGTAGGGAAAGGACCAGGGATGAGGTTGTTGTTAACATCAAGAAAGGTGACGTTTTTGAGGTCACAAATAAATGGTGGGATTGGTTTGGAAATGCTGAGATTAACGAGACGAATGGCTCTGACTGAATTATCATGTGTGCAGCTGATCTCCGGCCAAGTGCAGTGGTCTGATGATGAAGTCCAGCGGTTAAGGAAGAAGGGAGAAGTGGTGGATAATTGTTCTTTTAGTTGAAGTAAAATGGTTTTTTCTTGATTGGAGCTAGGCTGCGAATTTACATTTACATGAAAGGTGAAAAAGACAAAAGTGAAAATGCAGAGAAGGATTTGGGGAGCTGGGATTATTTTAGTTTTGGACATTTTTCTGAGGAAGATAGTTTCTATGGGTGATGATTGAAGGAGTGTTGAAAATGAACCATGTTGTGGACTTGGTAATGGCATCCCTCATCCCTGCTAACTTATATACTATTGACAGTAATATCATACTTAATACTATTCAAATTCTGTGTTCATTTTTTTTTATCAATTTCCCTTGGCTCATTGTTAGTCTTCTTAAATCTTAACCAATCATTAAAGCAACTCTTAGTATTTACTTATTTTTCTATTTCTATCTAGAAGAGAGGTTTGTCCTAAGTGGAATAATTAGCTAGAAGACTAATCCTCAACCGTAGAGCATGATGTGATCTTTTTTCTCGCTGGTGGCGTAGACTTTGGGTCAGTCAACTAAATATATGTACTACATCTTTCTATTATACACACTTTACAGATTCGATCTCCAACAAGTTTTTTCTTGTTTTCTAGTAGAATTTATATTCAGGTTTCATGGAAATGCATCTTTTAGCATTTAGATACCTTGGTTCATGCACAATTGCATACCAAAAAATCAGTTGAAATGGAAGCTTAGTAGTTTAGTACACGTTAATCTAGATTAATCTAGAACCGTGAATGCTTATTGTGCATTTATGTAATCGAGAAAAAATTCAATTTGTTTTTTCTTACTCACATTTATATTTAATTAAGGATAGTTTAAGTCATACTAAATATTTTTATATAAAATTTAGTATTTTTTTAATGTACATGAACCTGATCACATTTATTTTGGACAGGAGAGTAGTATAATTACAAGTATATGGCACGGCACACCTTTGTTGACGGAAGACTCCTAAAGATAGTGCTCATTGACTTTGAATCCTTTTTGGTGAAGCAGCTATTTATCTTCCTTCCGCTTCATAAGCAATGTATTTGGCCAAATTAAGTTCCCTCATCCACATAAATCCACAAGAAAATGTCTAGTACTACTATTAGTACAGACAGTTTTTCTGCCCTAGTTAAATGCCAAAATCTCTAACCTATTCATTTTTTTGGCCATTGCCTGCCCGTCATCCTCATCATTTACATACATCATCTCCATGTCTGATCCAAGATTTTTTTTTAAAGTTTAATCTTAAAGGTTATTAATATTGAATCAATTATATTATTAAAGTTATGAATTTATATCTAACTATTTATTATAATTTTAATATATTTTTACACATAAATTTATAATTTGTGTTGAAAGTACATGAATTATTATTAATATTATTATTATTATTATTTTTTGGTTAAATTCTTCCTTATGGGTTATATGTACATGGATTAAACAATCCAAGTGACTAAATTATCCTTCTTCCCAAGCCTTTCTTTAGTAGAAATGATAGTAGCTAGCCACGCTCAAGGGTTAGATATTTAAGAATTAGGTAGTGCGTCCTAAATATCAATATTTCAGTTGGGACAAAATGTCCTGAATTCTCCCGAAGTTAAGCCTTTTAGTTTAAAATTTCAAGATAAAATAAGTACGGACTAGATCTCTAAATAGCACCCCTAAGAATGACTATCTATGCACTTGAAATTAAGAATGTATGCAGTTTAAAACCAAACATATGTTTTAGATTAGGCAGAATAGCCTGGGAGACACTTGTACTTGTTCCAGATTGTCATCCCGGTCCCTATACTCCACAAAGTTTTATCGAGACACCTCAACTTTATCAAAACAAAACTTTTAAACCCCTTATGATTCGTGTGATGCTCACTTGCTTGATGTGCATGACAAATCATCATCCACGTCAGATTTTATGCCAAAATAATAATTAAATTTTCATATTGTTTAACAAAATTCTAATTTCATAAATAAAAAAAATAAAAGGAGAAAGGCAAAATTTTAAAAATAAAGAAAACCCCCTCCTCCCTTCTTCAAACCCACCCACTCATGCTTCTTAAAAGAATCACCACATTTGCCATGGCTCCTCCACCATGAGTACAACCACCTCCAATATCAATTCTTATTTCTTATAACCTCACATTCACTCATCTTTTAAAGAAAGTTATCTATCCATAAAAAATCCTTTTGAAAAATACATGAGCAGAGAATTAATTCTTTTGAATTTTGACTTATTCCTCTACCCCAAATTTGAAAGGCTGTGAAAAATTTGAAAGCTTAGTCCACCGAAAAAAATGGAGGAGCCATAGAGAAGGGGAAGATGACATGATGGAAGAAGAAATACTCACCAAGGAGAAAATCTAATGGAAGAAGGGATGAAGAAAGATGAAGAAAAAGGGGAAGGGAAGGGATTTGAAGAAGAAGAAGAAGAAGAATAGAAGAAGGGGGTTGGGGGGGGGGGGGGGGGGGGCAGAACAAAGGAGAAGGGGAGATATAAAAAAGGAAAGAGAAGGGCGGAGGGGAACGAAGGGGAGGGGTATTATGCTAGTATTTCTTTTATTTATTAATTTTCTGATTTTTGTATTTTTAATAGAGTAAAATCAGCAATTCGCACCGAATGTGCATGTAAATCACTCATTTTGTCCACTTCAGCCATATCAATGCCACATGACCAGGATGACAATCCGAAACAAGTACAAGGGTTTCTGTGCTATTCTGCCTTTAGATTATATGCTGTATATCTCATTTTAATACAAAAAATCAAACACCCTAGAAAAAATAATATCTTCATACAATCCTTGCAATATTAATAAGGTACTAATAATTGTATTACAATCCCGAAATAACTTGTTTCTAAACGATCAACCACTTAAGTACATGAAACCTAGAGGATTGGGGTGGGGAGAAAAAGAGTGTAGGTATATGAAAGGTTTATTAATGAATGACAAATATCTGTAATACATGAGGGATGTTTTAGTTTAACTATAAACTAAACAACAATTCAAGAGTAGCATGATACAAATTCTCAAAGATGCGATAGCTGATCATATCAATGACGACGAAAATATTGATAAGAGTACTGTAACCCACAGGCAATAGGTAAAGTAAGATGAAGGAGTTAACCCTCTTACTTTCAAGAACTAATGCTAGTGCAGAAGCAGTGGTAGCGAAAACTGCAGCCAACATCAAACAAATAGAAGCAGCACTAGCTTTTAAAGGCACAGAAATATAGAATTCTTCAGCGTAGAAAGTAGAACGTTGGAGTGATAACAGAGCTGCCAAACTTATGAAGGAAAACAATATTGCTGAATAGACGACCACTATGAACTTGTAGAAGGTGTTGTCTTTGTCGAGAACAGGTATACCAGAATTCTGATCGAAACCTCCAGGTACTGTAAATAATGCTGCATAATTCACTGTACAGAAAAGGGTTGCCACAACTATGATTCTGTTGATCATATCAATACTCTCTCTCTGTGCTGCTTTTCTAAACGCAAATGGTTCTCTTCGAATAATTCATCAGCTGTCTTCCCATCTCTATTTCGGACGTACCTTAGATGCGGGTGGCAATCCATCCTTGTGTGCTGAGGATGATATGCATGCAACTCATTTTATTCATTATATCGATCGAGTACTAATTTACATATGCCATTTTAACTTGAGACAGAAAAAAAAGAGGCGCTTTACGCAAAATTATAGTATTGAGCTCTGGTAATTTTGATGATTAACAAACAATATTGTACTGGTATTTGGTTGGTTGGTTAATTACTAGTTAAAGAACCTAGTCCTACGTGTGGTTCTTTTAACAAGGTTCATGCATATATTTATATATGTCACTTTCACGCGTAAATATTTCACTTAAGCTATAAATTAAATGACCTAGTAACCGCCTAAATTCAAAAGAAATTGCTAATTATAAGGAGCCCAGTTTTATAAGAAATAGTAGAACTGCATGCGTTAGGAGTTGTTTAGGCAAGCCATATGGTTTAATTTATATACTTCCTCTAAGCCTTGCTACTAACATTGGTCTCATGTATATATATTGTACTCCTATTAGTTTGCCTTCTTGCAGTATAGTATTATATATATATATATATATATATATCAAGCCGAAAAACCAAGTCTTGTGTTTGAAGTTTGTCTATTCATTATATATAGTAGGTATTTTGAGTTGTAAACTAATTCGCTTATTCAAGAAGCTTTTTGTTAGGTTAATCTTCAGAGAGTCGTTTGTACTTCTAGGCTAGAGTTAGCTTGGAGGCATGCATTGCTACGTACAGTCAAATATGTATGAAAATAAAAAAAAACTTAATAATAATATTTACTCAAGGTCGAAAACTTTACCTTTAACCAATATATGTCCCAACACATCTCACGTGCTATATCAGTATTAGACTCTTTCACTGGCACAACTGAAGAGTGAGTAGATGGAAGTTCCAAACTTGATGGAACTCCCAAACTTGATGCTAAATGAAGTATGGTGTTCCCATATTTATCAACTTCTGCTAACATTCTATCCTTGTCATGACCAAGTTTTTTCTTCAAAAAGTCATATAGACAGGGGCGGATCTAGTGTTATGGATACGGGTTCAATTGAACCCATAACTTTCGACAAAACCCGAGAATATACTGTGCAAAATTACTGAAATATGATCATATATTAGTGTTTGAACCCATAAACTAAATGAGGCTATGGGTTCAGTGGTAAAACTGATGGGTGAAGTTCTNAACCCATAGACTAAATGAGGCTATGGGTTCAGTGGTAAAACTGATGGGCGAAGTTTCACTTATTGCGAGAAGACTTGAGTTCGAATCTCTGTGTACACAACTTTTATTGCAATTTTATTTAAGTTACTGTTTGACTTCTTTGTTACTTATGGGCTTTTTTTGCCCCTTCACATTTAAAGAGATCCGTTTCTTATCCTTAAAAGATGAGGACCACCTAATTAATTTTATTCTTTAATGTGTACTTCATTAACTTGTGGGGCTTTTTAATAATTATAAAAAAGTTGGTCTTCACAAAACTTTAAGAGATCAAAACCTTTCATTTTTTCAGAAGGTTCACGGTTCCCAAAATTTTAAAGCTAGGGTTTCAAAAGAATCAAAGCAAAGGCTCTTCTTGACTTCTTCAGTTTTTCTTGGACATAAACTGCAAGTCTGCAATCAATCCTCTTCTTTAGTTTTGCTGGTATGCCTCTATTGCTCTTTGTCAATAATAATGCAATAATATTTATTAATTATAAGTTACAAGATTTGCCACTGCTGTTCTTGGTTCTTGCATTTTGGTTCCATATAAGAAACGCACTATCAGAACAAAACTTCACCCAAAAGGATGTGTTTTGACTTTTGATCTTGTCTTTTTCTTTTTTTTCACAAAGCAGTTCAGCTTATTTTTATAGAAAATAGTTAGAGAAACAAGGAATAGAGAGATGATAAGATTGCTTTGTATTGATGGGTTTTGTCTTGATTCGATTTGTCTCCTAAGAAAATACTGCTCTATGTACTACAGAAAGGGTGTGAAGTGTGAACCTTACATTGGGAAGTTTAAGATATAATAATTCAAATAATAATTAAACTTTAAGTAAATTAATGAATTTAAATTTAACTTTTTATATCAACTTAATTACTAGTCAATCATTTCCTAAACTAATCTTACTTTTAGGCCTAGGGATATTGTATCATATTAACTCCAACTTCTTAAGTACTTAAGTTGTTGAAATATTAATTTGGTTGGATTAAGTTTCAATTACACCTTGAAGTGTAATTTTTTTTGTTGTTGTGATTTTTAGGATCTTTTTAGTGAGTGTGGATATGATCACGAAATTTTTCAAGGCTATTCCAACTTCTCAAAGTTCTGATTCTGGTTCTAGTCCTCCTACGCCGAGTTCTTCTCCATGTCCAATTATTCATGACAATATCAATCCTTCGGCGGTATCAAACAAAGAGAAAATATTGAATTTGAATCTTGAACCTGATCCCGCAGAAAGAAAGCAAATTTCAGAGTATCCTCCGAATTTACGTGACCGAGTGAGAAGATATTATATTCAACAAGGACCTTGTCAACCTCGTAATTGTAGTTTTCCAAAAAGAGATTTTGGTGGATTTATGCGTCAATTTAATCTTGAATGGTTTAACACTTCATACTCTGGATGGTTAGAATATAGTGTTAAAGTTGATGCAGCATTTTGCTTATGTTGTTACTTGTTTAAAAATGAGCATGGAGGACATGGAAAAGTTGGGGATTCTTTCACAAAGAATGGTTTTAGAGCTTGGAATAAAGCTACAGAAAGGCTTAACGCACATATTGGAGAGGTGAATAGTCTTCACAATAGATGTTTTATGATGATGAGAGATTTAATTAATCAAGAGCAATCAATTCTAACCTCTTTTGACAAGCAGTCTGAAAAAATTAAAAGTGATTATCGAGTTCGGTTGAATGCTTCGATTGATGTGGCAAAATTTCTTTTAAAACAAGGAATGTCTTTCCGGGGCCACGATGAAGGTGAAACTTCTATTAAAAGAGAAAACTTTGTAGAACTCTTACAATGGTATGCAGATAGGGATGATGAAGTANATATATTAAATATCATTGTTCGTATTTCATTCGGTTATTATTGTATAGTACCTTGAGGTATATCCTAGAGTCTAAATATTGAACCCATAAAATTAAATTTCTGGATCCGCCTCTGCATATAGACGTAAATGTTTTTGTTCCACTGCTATATGCAAAATGTTCCTTCCATTTTCGTCTAGTGAATCAGAAACTTGAGGTCGTGCTTTTAAGATTGCAGTTACCAATTCGGTAATGCCGGCCAGTTTTGTGGCTTGTATTAGGGGATTAATCATAGGATTTGTTGAAGAATCAAATTGAGACGAGCTTGTATAACAACTCCAATCTTCTTTCGATATTAATCTTTCTGCTAGTAACAAAGCTAGTCCATGTTTTTGTTTCTCACTATCAATTCTTCTCAACCATCGAAGACCTGTACATTACAAATAGGAAGTAAACCTCATAACAAAGTAATAATTAAATACTCCGTACTAGCTATAGAGTACTATATGTATGACTTCCATGATAGTAATGTAAGTCAACTGGTATATGAGTAGATCATATTGTCTAAACAGGTTTCAGCTAAGAAATTACTAACACAAAACCGACAAATAATAGGCACAATAGCTAACACAAAGATGGTCTCTTATATATTTGGAGGTAAAACATAAATAAATAAATAAAAGTGTACATGTTTTCCCAACTAATATATGCTCTCCCTCCGTTTCAATTTATGTGAACTTATTTCCTTTTTAGTCCGTGACAAAAAGAATGACCTCTTTCTATATTTGAAAATAATTTGCCTTTATCAATGATTTATTACCTTTAGAAGATCCATTGATATAAGGGAATATCACTTGAGACTTTTGAAATGGACACCTGATTTTCTTCCTAGTGAAGAAACTCCAATATCCCCTATTTGGGTAGTTATGCCTATGCTACCTTGGCATTGTTATTACTGGGAGGTAGTGAATCAGATTGTAGAACAAATAGGTGTGATGTTATCATTAGACAAAGCAACTATGATCAAAACAATAGGTTGTGAAGCCAAAGCTACAGTAGAAGTTAACTTGACCAAAGCTTTACCGGATAGTGTTTGGGTTGGTTACAATGATGGAGATGAGGACGGTTACTGGCAACCTCTGGAATATGAGGGAGTACCAGACTATTGTCAATATTGCAAGGAAGTCCAGTGCAGAACTAAGTCAAGAGATATTGCCATTAATACCAAAACTGATGAGGAGAGACATGGACAAGGAAATTCCACGGAGCAAAGAGAAATTGGCAAATACAAAGCAGAATGCAGTCAACACCATAACAAAAATGCATCAGGTAAGGAACAAGGTTCGACTATGCAGCAAGCTCAAGTTAACGAAGAAGAACAATGCAGACTCAACCTATGAGGAATAATGGAAAATGTAAGATGGTTATGCAGGGAGGAGCCAAGACAAATCCGAACAAGCAACAACCAAATTTCAAGAACCAAAACAGAAACAAACCTATAATACAAAGGTATGTACCAAAGAGGCAAAGACTTTGGAACTAGAGGAACACAATCAGATCATAGCTCTACCTGAAGCAAATGAAAAAAATAATCATGTTTGTGAGGAAACTAACCCTAATCCTGTCCGTGGAGAAGAAGTCACACCAAACTTAGAAGCGGAGGAACAGAATAGATCTACAATTACTCCTGAGAAGGTTGATGAAACTGGAGGTTCTATGGATACTAGTAGGGGCATAGTTGAGCAAGTACCTGAATCACCTAGTAATTTTCAAATGCAGAACAGAGGTGATGATATAAAGGATATCTCTGAACAAATTCCTATGGAGATTGATTTCTAGAACAAGGAGGTTTGAACTACCATGATCCAAGAGAAACCTACTAATATAATACCAAATCTTGATAATGTCCAAAATAAGGCTCACATGGATCGTAGCAGTACTACTCCTGATGCTATACAATGTAATAATAATTCTATCCAATGTAATAGGCTAGCCCCAAACCAGCCAAGATACTTTACCAACTCACAGTGAAGATAGCCCACTAAGCTCCAGAGCTAGAAAAAGATCTAAGAAAAAGAAAAGAATGCAGGAGTTAGCTTTAAATATGCAAGGCAACTATCCAGATTCTAGTCAGGGATTACAACTATTTGTGGAACTCCATGGAGGACATGTAACCAATGAAATTATTCCTGATAAGAACCTGGTAAAAGATACATGACAGAACGTTGAAGAGGATGAGACTGGGTACGACAGTGAACAACAAGTTTCAATTGCAAGCTGAGAGGAAACTACTGAAGTTCTTAACCAAACTTCTGGCCCTCAAAGGCAAGAACAAGAAGTTCAAAAAGAAATCAACAAAGTTGTTCAACAAGGGAATTTATCACCAAGAAGTTTCAAAAATAAGAATACAACCAAAAAACAAAGATCTTTCAAAAAGATCCCAAAGAACCTCAAAAAAGAAGTGTCGATGATCAATGTCCTAAATTGGAATATTAGAGGAATGAAATCCCAAGATGCTACTGAGAGGGTCACACTTCACTTATTCAAAGACACAAAATCTCATTATTTGCTATTCAGGAACCATTTGTGGGAGAATCCAACATCAACCACTACATCAGGGGTTTTGGCATGGCAGATTGCTTTTCCAATATAAATAATAAGATATAGCTCATCTGGAATAGTGATATCAATTGTGAAATTTTGAAGAATGAAGAATGAAAAACAAATTATCAATTGCAAGATTATGCATATATAATACTATTGATTCACCCATGTACATTTCTATTGTGTATGCTAAATCTACTATCAATGAGAGGGAAGAGTTAAGGGATGAAATGAGAAATTTTGATGCTTTAGGTGTAGTTCCATGGGCAGTTTGTGGAGACTTTAATACCATCACAACTCAAGAGGAAAAGAAAGGAGGCAATCCTTTTAACATAACAGAAAGTATGCCTTTCAT